AGCTCAATCATATACACACATACACGTTTTGGTTTTGTATATATATAGCTATATATATACATATATGTTTTGGTTTGATAGTTTTCAAGTTTTAATATGAAACAATTGAATATAATTAGAAAACATATTTTTGTTTCATACTTATATACATATATATGATTTCATCAATATCAATTTTATTTAGTTCAATAAAATCATGTTTTAGTGCATTATATGTGTATTTTGATAAAATACTATATTCATTATTTATAGACTTCATAACAATAGTTTACATCATTCTTCAAGTCTATAAAATCATTTTGTAATGTTTCAAAACATGGTTAAGCTAAAATGTCAAAACACATATGTTCACATTTTCATGTTTTTGAACATATTTTGCAAAATGATGATATTTTATAAATGGGAAATGCAATTTGGAAAATGCCTTTTGTAACATGTTCATTTACATGTTTATATATATTTCCCAAAGTTTTATTACTTTTGGACATCATTTGTTATTTTTAACAATTTTCCAAAAGTCAGAAAAACACTTTCAAAACCTGTATTTTCATATATCAGTTTGCGGTCGACCGTCACAGTCGACCGCGCTTATGTTTTTCCCTCAGGAGCCAGCAAAAACTTTCGCGGTCGACCGTCAGTCCTAAGTTTCCACGGTCGATCGTCACGGTCGACCGTAGCTTTCTTTAGAAGTTTTCTCAGGCTTGTATATGCCTCGCGGTCGACCGCGAGAATTTCACGGTCGACCGCCGTATTGTCTTTTCATACACCAACGACTATTTCCCGCAGTTGTTGTTTGGGGCTTTTTGATCTTTTGTTTGGGGTTTTTGGCTGAGGTTTTGGGAGGCTATAAATACCCCATTGATCTCAGTTCTCAAGATAACTAAGAGAGTTTTAAAACAAGTTTAAAGAGTTTTAAACATGGGTTTAAGTTTGGTTTAAGTTTGTTTAAGAAGCTTTTAAGCATTTGAAAGTTTGAGTTTGTGAAATCAATTTCACAACAGCTTGAAGAGATCATCTATTGGTGTTTGGGCATCCAACTATTCTCCCTCTACCTCTTGATCTATTAAGAAATTTTCTAAACTCTATTTCTAGCTTTACATCTATTTGTTTGATTATCATTTTATTAAAGCTAGTTTTATATTGAGTTTAGTTGATTTGATTTCACTCATTGTTTACACACACCCACTTGAGCTTATTGTATTTGCATACATTGTATATTTGGGTTGGTGAGAGTTGTAACAATTGAGTGTGAGCTTTCATTATGTTCTCATCCATATTAGAGAACAATGATTTATTATAATTGTGATTATTGTGAGATTCACTTTGTAATACACTTATACATCGAGAGAAGTGTGTGACGAGAGTCGGGGATCATCCCAAGAGGAGTGGTGTCGGTTGACGAACCTAGGGAGAGGTTGTATTCAAACACTTGAGGGAGACACGTCTAGGTCCAACACTTGAGAGGGTGTAGAGTGAGATTGCAAGAGTGTTGATTGTAAAGTTTTCGGTTAGCTAGAAAACCGAGTGTGAGGTGTAAACGTTATTCGGGTAAGCTTAAAAAACCCGATTGTGATAGTGGATTTCTCCCCGGGAGTGGGGAGCGGAGACGTAGGACAGAAGGTCTGAACTCCGTGATCATTTGCTTGTGTTTGAGTTTGCTTTGGCGTTTCATTTGTGCTTAGTGTTCATTACATTCTTGTCGCCATTGTCAATTGTCCTATCACTTTTGTAGATTGTCTATTTCACCCTTGTGTTAGTTTATATATCTTTACATATATTTCATAGTATATCTCATTGCTAGGATATAAATATATTTGTTCATATTGCTTATTCTTGCTTGTAACATATTGCATATCTATCTTGTAAGAATAATTTGTTAATTGATTTTAATTGGCATAAAATCGGATTAGATTAGCATAAGACCCTAATCACCCCCTCTAGGGTCTAACAGGACTAAGCACAATTACCTAATCACAGTTATTTTCTTAGTTACATTCCTAATATCTCTCAATCATCAAATCTCTAATTTATAACTCCTAATATATTATTCCTAATCTAAGTTGCATGGAAACGAGCACGGGTAGTGGTACGGGTGCGGGTACGGGTAGGGGACACGGCAAAACTGTAAAATGTTGGGTACGGGGACATGACTACATATATATATTGAATTAATAATGTACATGAGATAATTTTTTTCCGCTTCATGTGTCCTTAAAATTAAAATTTCGATCATATTTTTAAGTTTATTTTATCATATAATTGATTATCGTGAATTGTAAACTACTCATTTTTTACTAGACATCTAAACGACCCATTAACTATATAGTTTTGAACTTGGGTATGGACTGAAACGAACCTGACCCGTATCTCATTAGTTTCGAAAGACGGATGTGAAGTGTAAGCTCTACGTCCAGGAAGTCTTTGACAAGTGTTTTAAATTAACACATATATCGTATAATTGAGTACATGTTGTAATAAATGCATGCATATATTCAAGAAGTGTCCATGAAGTTTGGGTACGGAAAAGTGTCGGGTACGTGTCCGGTACGGGTACGGCTTCAATAATGAAGTACCCGGGTAACATAGTTCCTAATATAACTACAACATTATAGATCTCCATAATATATTCCTTAACATCTCAAAAAGAAACTAACTCAGGTACAAAAAGAAAATCGGTTGCAGGAACCATAAAAGATGGTTAGTGTCCTCATGATATGGTAAACGGTCAGTAACTTTAAGGGATTAGCGTGTCGCTAACTCCTCGATGAAGATCCTGACCAGAGTGCTAGCTAAATTGGGTCGCTCGTACATAAGTTTTGTCAACATTGAATAAAGAGGACTCTTTAATGACGGTACCGTTTTAGATGACGTTGTTTGCAAATAATAAATAGGAAATCATTTTAGGTGCTATAAACATTGGTTTTGACTTTAAATTATCTAGTTTAGCAGTCTGATTGAGACCTAAGAATAGATGTGGGTGAGTCTCTTGCTTCCTATTAGCCTTTTATGCATTTTCATTGCAGGGTTGACAAGGTAAGCATTATTAGCAGGTGGACGTTCATTATGGTGTTCCCTGTCAGGGTTCATTTAGTCTCGCACTGATTAAATGAGGAGTCAATTGTGGGTTTATAAGTCCATGTTTGTTTTTTTAATAGTACGAGTACTATTTTAAAATAGTCTAGACCTATCGATCTAGCCTATGTTTTTTTTTACTTGGCCCGGACTACTTTTAAGTAGGGACTAATTAATACCCAACAAAGGGAGTAAATAAACCAACCCACACCCACCTTTACAATCTAGGTATTAATCATCTAGAGGAGATTAAGATTTTTTGACAAAAAACTCATACCCTTTTAGTTCTGCCCTTTTTTTTAGTCCGCCGCTCCTTTTTTGGCCAATTTGCTTCCAACGATTCTTTTCAGCAAAGGTTTTTTTTTTGCAATTTTTTGTCAAGTGCCTTTATTTCTATCGCACAGAGAACACAAACGACTCATCTTGCTCATTGTTTTTTTGACCAGCTTCGGTGTTTATGCCTTTTCTTATCGCCTAGAATTGGTGGAAGCTATAAGACTCAGTTGCTCATTTTGTAAAATCTGTAGCAACTTCATTAAGTTTTCATGTTTAATTCTATTGGGAGATAAAGTTCGGAGGAGATTAAATCATCAAGCTCCATTTATTATAACTCTCTGTATTGAGGTTTAATAATTATGATAGTATGGATATATTAACTGCCAAGTTCTACAACATAACCCATGTCCATATGCAAATCTCATGAATTAGACTGTTGAGGATAGGGGTAGTATTCATGTCTACCTAAGCAAGCACTTCATAAGCCTCAGTAGCTTTGTCAAAGGAACTAGAGAACTATGTTAATGAAGACTTATAGATCTACAATCCTTGACCAAATTCAATATATGTACAACTACAATTAGTGAAAGACTATTATAAATTACAGGTATTCACAACCATAAATTCAGCACCCTCAGGAACTGAAAATACCAACCCCCTTGTGGATCATCCTTTCATATTGGAGTATTGAAGCTATATGTTGCTTTTTTCAAGTTTCAAGACTAAGTAATCTCTGCCTTAAGACCTATAAACTGAAGTAGTTGCTTAAGGCTCAAAGTTAGGCGGTAGAAGTTCCATCTTCCAGTCACAGTTGCAATCTCCGATAGCTTCCAGTCATAATAGTAAGATAAATCATTTTAATCACTACAGTTCTGAAACCTCAGTAGCATGCTTCGTCAAATGCTTAAAAAGCTCACACAATTCCAGACAAGTCCGGTGCATTCACACAATTTTAATTGACTTGAGGGCAAAAAGGCCATTCTGATTATGATAGTAGTTTGAATGGTCATAATTCCCCTAAAAATAAACACTAATATGGACTATTTTAAGTTAGTCCGAATATTAGTCCGTGTAAAAACAAACATTGGATTGGACTAGAATAATACCAAAATACCACAATCCCAGTACCATAGTCCAGGGAATACAATACACCTAGTCCGGGGATAAAAAACAAACATGGCCTAAGAGATTTAGATTCCTTGCCTTTAACAACTAGCTTTTAGGGATGAGTTCTCAAGACTCTCCTAGAATTGTATCAGAGCCAAACCCATCTTATCTAGTTGCAAGTGAGTGTTGCGCGTAGCAACGTCTGTGTTTTAGTGCTAGCCGAAGACTAATCTTGTGCAAAGACAAAGGAACGATCCCGGGATTGCAGTGCTCAACTAGGATTAGACTAGTGCAAATCCAGGTTGCGAGAATGCCAGGACTGTGGAATCATGTTGGTAGGTTACAGTTTGTTTAGTCATTCGTTGACTAAATGCGGAATCAATTGTGGATTTATAGGATATTTTGGTTCCTTCACTCGAACAACTAGCTTCTAGAGTGAGCCCGCAATGGATATTATTCCGCCTCTCTGGTTTTGTTGCATATGCCAATTATCAAAAGAGTTACTGTGTTTGTACAATATAATAAGAATATGCTGATGATTTCACCTGTACTCAATGAGTCATCTCTCTCAGTACCCCTGAAGCACTGCATCTGAGACAAACGCAGCCCATAACAGTGCCTTCCAACTGAAACCCAAGTCCCCAAATGCTCAGAATTCAACAAATAACAACAGAAATTGAGCTAAAATTTGTAAATTCTGAACGCACCTTGAGATTGAGAAGTGAAGAATGAGACATGATAACGGCGATTAGATGATAAAAGAGAGATGGATTCGGGTGAGCGGATTGGAGCCCTACAGACCCCAGCTTCGAATCTCAATGGGATTGTAGAAGCAAACCCCATCGTTTGAGAGAATGAAGAGAGAGGTTGAGCGGAGAAATGGGTAATGGGGTCAATATTATCTTCGGCTGTGGGGCCTTTTTTTCTCTCTCTCTATAGGATTTTTTTGCATTTTGGACCCATGAAACTGCTTTATTTTCTAATTAATGTCCTTTTTAATATTGACCCTTATGTAATTAAGTGGTTAAATGAGAATTGGATGAAGCGGAACGGAATGGAATAAACGTGACAACGTATTCTCGTTTTAACGTTTAGATGTAAGCAGGGAATGAAACGGGAAGAAATTTTAATTTATAAACATCGATTTAATTTATAAGCACTGACATCGCCAGCAGCAGTTATTATCATCAAGCAACTAACTACGAATTTTGTTCACCTTCTTCTTGTTTACTTTTATCTTTGAATCTAGAAGTCAGTCAAGTTGTATAATTATTTGTCTTACTATAAAGTTATAAACTTACCCTACTAACGTTGATAATTCACAACAGTAGCCCACATTAGTGGACAACATAACCGCAAAAGAGTATAAAGAAAATAGAAACTCATGAAATTCTTGAATTTTCTTAAAATGTTAAAATTGTAAAACACAACTCCTCGATTTGAAAATCCAGCACATCATTTGGACACAAGAATAAGCTAGAAATTCCATTTTATATCTATCTACCCTTTAAAAGAGGGAGTTCATGAAAAACTTTCCCTAGCCCAAAATACCCTTCAGCTATTATAAATATAACAGTTTTATCCCTTTTTATCATTAAACAGGGTTAAGAAATTGGGAGCCCTAAAGCCTTCGTTTCTTTCATTCTCCGACGGTTACCCTTCACCTCCGGCAACGCCCTCCCACTTTCTTAAACCATTAATTGCCAACGATGAGTACCCGATGCCCTAAGCCCTTATCATCACCGCACCTCCTCTGCCATCATCTCCTCACTTCTCAGATATTGGGCATCTATTACGATCACGAATGAGGCTCATTGACGAAGGTATGATTTGCTCATTTTCTAAATTTTAGTTTTGATTTTTAAATGTTTTTTCATCAACGCCTAAGGATCAAACTCCGGCGGGAACTCATGCCCTTTCTGGCATAAATTTCTAATTTCTGTCGTTAGATTCGTGTTCTCTTTTGCCTACTTTATGTATTTGCTTTATTTTGAACCCTCAATATATTCTTGAATTTATCTACTTGATCTTGGTTTATTCATTTGCGTTTGTTGTTGTTGACAGACCTGGACTTCTTATTCCACATGTTTTTCCTTGCTCGATACTGCAAGCTTCTTGAGGAGAACTCATTCAGGGGACGGACTGCAAATTTCTTATACTCTCCGCTGCCTATTTACCATGGGTTAGTATTTATTTTTGGTTGTATTTAATTAAACAGATTAATGTCTCCGCTGCCTATTTACCATGGGTTAGTATTTATTTTTGGTTGTATTTAATTAAACAGATTAATGCCTACTACAAAAACCTTCTTTTTCTATATTTCCCCCTGTATCAGTTGCTAGGATTTTCTTTGTAGATTGTCCAATATGCTTTTAATTTAATATGTTTAGCCATGTTTCTGGTGATCCTCATGCGACATGATTTTTTCAATAATATTATATCATTTATCATTTATACTCTTTAAAAGAGGGAGTTCATGAAAAACTTTACCCTCCCCAAAATAGCCTTCCACCAAATTTAGTTACCAAACATATCCTTAATTCATAAACCACTTTACCCTATCATCGGTTACGCCTATATTCCTCCTACTTTCAATTCATCGGTTACGCCCTAATCCTTTCAATTCATCGGTTACGTCGTCTCCTACGATCTTCCGTTACCTCCACCAAATTTTAAAGATTAATTCTCAGTTCTTCTCAGTCATCATCAACGCTTTCCCTCCGTCATCATCAACGCTTCACCGTATCCTCCGTTCTTCTCTATTTTTGGGAATTGGTTAGAATCTTTGCTTCATTTTGGTTTAATTTTAAAGAATAATTTCATTGAATTTGGTTCTAATTAGCCATCATCTAATTTTTGTTCTAATTCAACAATAGGTCAAGTGTTTTCCGATTTAGGGCTTGCTTCAGGTGTTCTAATTGATCCTGTGTCAATTTCATAAGGTAAAAATTCTATTTTTATTTTTAGTATTTTTAAAATTCAATTATGTTACTATGCCTGGCTCCAAAATTAAAAATTTGATTTAGGGCTTGCTTCATTTTTAATTTTTTAATTTTGGTATTTATGTGCTTATCACTGTTTTTTTTTTACCAAATGGTTGCTAATTTGGGAATTTTCATGTGTTTAGATGATTATGCATTTTTAGTATTTGACGAATAATTCCTTCAGATTTGATTGTCATATGGTTGCTAAGTTACCAATATGAAACAATAATATTATACTTTTAGTTCTACATTAGTTGTGTAGCCTATATGTTGGGATATGCCACGGAAATGCTGGTGGAAGAGTTGGCTGTGGTGAGTTATTTGCTTAAATTCGTGTCTGATTTCTTCTTAATATTATTTGTGTATCCACTGATATTGATCCATCTATGGTGCAGTCTACAATAAAGGCTAATGGATGAGACACTATATAGCTATAATTTTCATGTTTTTTTGTAACCAAATGGTTGCTAATTTGGTAATTGTCATGTGTTTAGATGATTATGCATTTTTAGTATTTGATGAATAATTCCTTCAGATTTGATTGTCATATGGTTGCTACGTTACCAATATGAAACAATAATATTATACTTTTAGTTCTACATTAGTTGTGTAGCCTATATGACAAGGAACACCAAGTTAAGTTGGGATATGCCACGGAAATGCTGGTGGAAGAGTTGGCTGTGGTGAGTTATTTGCTTAAATTTGTGTCTGATTTCTTCTTAATATTATTTGTGTATCCACTGATATTGATCCATCTATGGTGCAGTCTACAATAAAGGCTAATGGATGAGACACTATATAGCTACAATTAGTTTAAGTTCTCCCAAACTAATAATTTTTACAAGATTATCTACATCTTTTACCTCCCAGGAAACTTTCAAACTTTAAATTGTTTGTATAATAGAATATATTCGGTTTTTATACGACATACTTAGCACTCCTGCAATGTTTTTTTAATATACATGGAATAGTGGAAAAAAAGGGAAAATACATAACAAGCAGACAAAATTTAAGAATATTAACACTACAATTAATCATATACAATCTATGGTAGGTATTGATGAAGCGGACGGTGAAACAAAGTACAAACCTTCTCAATGTTTTACAACATGATGCTTTTGATTTCTGAAACTTGGGCCTTAACTTTTAAAACCTTTTGTATCTTGTGGGCATGCTCAAGAATATATTGCATATGTTCCTTTATAATTGATCTGCAAATAATAGAAAACATGATGTCATGAGAATCCCCGATGATACACAAAAATTGAAAAGGACCTCCTCAACAAAGAAAAGAGAAGAAAACACACCCAAATTATTTATAGATAATTTTGGCAGTTACCGTGTCAGACTTACCACCTCCATATCTCTTTCTAAAATATACCTCAAGCCGCTCAAGAAAGGCTACCAAGACATGTAAATGCAACTAACTTAGTACTCCTTCATGAAACCTATCCTTGATATCTAACAAGGTATTCCAAACTCAAGATCCACGTAATTTCCTCTTAAGCACTCCATATATTTTCTCGTGTTTTTTATATTAAATATTAATTTGAATTATTTCTTGGAGATGAGATGTTTATGCATAGAAAACGAGGCTTGTTTAGGACAAATAGTTGATTAGGGTCTTTATTTCATTAGTTGATTGTTGGCAATTAAAGTTGTTGATTTGTTGAATTTGGTTGTGTTACTGGAATTAAAGATTTGATCCGTTAGTTGGAGGTTAATCCATAAAAGTTTCAAAATCTTTGACCACACACCATGCATGACCACAATATGCACTTGCACAACCACACAAATATAATTGTAGTTTGAATTTGTTTTTTATTTATTTATTTTCCATTTTTGCTGGTTGGTTGCTTGTATGATATCTAGAAGCAGCAAGTGAGTTTTTTCCCATTTCTTTTTGACTTTGTTTGAAAGGGGTGCCGGGGGGGGTAGGGGGAGGTGAATGGTAGGTTGGTGCCATAGTTTTTTAATAGACAGTCATCATTTAATTTATTAAAATTTGAATGAGCTACTGAAACTGAATCTTAGGATTTCTTGTTTTTGAATCTTTTTCCAGTCTTTTCTACTTTTATATATTGTATATTCTTGTATTCATGAAATAAATGGATGTTTCTAGGCGATATTCGTTTGTTCTTCCTTTGTGTTCTTTCCCTTTTCTGCCATATGCAGTCACTGCCGAGAGTTATTAGTGGGTCCACCATTATAAATTCTGAAGAATTAATAAAGTATGGTTAATTAGATAGCATGGTGTTTCATATTTGAGAGGATGTTTTGAGCTTTTTTTGGTTAATCCCCTCAAAATCCTTTAATTTTTTGAATTTGATACCTTTTGAGAATTTTGCTCTGTAAATTGAGTAATTTGAGTAATTGGAGCTGGATATTTAAGGTTATAATTGGATTCTAAATCAATCTCAATTTTTATGAATGTGATTTATCTGCTAGGTTTGCATGCGTCACTACTTCATGTTTTGGCTTTTTGATGTTGTGATTGTGAGCTAAGTTTGTTAGGCGTAGAATGTTTCCTATTAGCATCAAATAGTAAATTCTGGTTCCATTGGGAAGTAGAATTTATTTTGTTGACAGATTCTTATAACTGATCAACTTTTGATATCACATGTTTGAACTTTGAAGTGATAAAGCTTTTTACAAAATTTCTTGGTGTAGTGTCCAGTTTATAAAAGCTTCAAGTTATACGCCTAAATCCTAAACGAATTCTGTTTCATTTAGAAGTCAGAAATTTCACAAATTTCATTTGATTAGTTAAAATATACATGGGCAAATATATGTCAGAAATAATTTTAGATTCATGTTCCTTTATGTCCCTTTGCTTGATACATTCCTAATCTTTATATACAAAATGCTCTCTCAGAATGAACCTATGCAATATT